GGAAAGATTACAATATAATTAATTAAAAAAAAGATAAAAAAAATTGTTCGGAAAGCAGAGTGACAGAGAGAGAAGGAGAGATGCAGAGAGAAAGAGATTTTCCATCTGCTGGTTCACTCCCCATATGGCCACAATAGCTGGGGCCGAGCCTGGTCTCCCACATGGGTGGCAGGGACCCAAAAACTTGAGCCATCTCCCACTGCTTTGCCAGGCACATTAGCAAGGAGCCAGATTGGGTTGGAACTGGCACTCCCATATGGGATGCTGGAGTACAGTCTGCAGCTTCACCCGCTGAGCCACCATGCCGGCCTTCAGAGCCTATGTCTAATGTCTACGGCCTGCCTTGGTGAGAAAACAAGCAGGTGAAAGGGGGGCAGGAAAAGGTAAGAGCGAGAGATTTTGCTTTCTGAGGCCAGAAGTGCCCAACATAATAACAAAAGGTCATCATCTGCTTCCATCTTTATTGCTCTCAAGCCGCTCTAAAGCTGCTTCAGGTACCAAAGGCAGAAGGACACATACTTCAGCAGAGTATAAGTTACTCTTCTAGTCATTTGGGAAGCAGCAAAGGTTATGGGGGTTATAAGCCAGGAACTGTGGATGAAAACCAAGCATGACGTGTCATGGCATCATAGTCCATGATTCTGGAAATCTGCTTCTTGGTTTATTCAGGGATGAACAAGTCAGCAATTCACTTAGGATACGTTAGGTGGCGGTGCTAGGAATTTATGGGGCTCTCGAATAGCTGCACTTGGGAAGCAAACACAGGGGGCTGGCTCGATCCAGTGCAACTGCAGGAAGTGGATTATCTCACTTTCCCCTTGGCAACTTCGCTAATGACTCATCCAATTGTGTCTCCACTGTCGCTGCTCCTTGGTTACTGTTGCCCTGCTGTGTGTGTCTCCTCTCTCCCAAGTGGCTTCCATTGACCCAGGACCCGTCCCTCTTCTCAGGGCTTCTTTCTACTGACTTTGCGGCTTCCACTCCCCCATGTGGATTTCCTCTTTCTGCTTCAAGTTCTTGAAAGAGAATGGGTGTCGTTGCTCACCCATCCCCGTGTGGGCAGAGTGCTCACCTCAGCTGGGCTGACCTCATTTTCCCTGGTTCTACCCAGAGGGTTGGATGGTGTAGACAGGTGTGTGGCTGCCTCAGTTGGGGGTACTGCCCAGGGAATTTCTCTTAGAAAGGGAATCTGACTCTTCAAACCCTTGAGTGATCTCTTGGGCACATTTTGTTTTGATTTTTTTTTCACTTTTAATATGTTTAACATGTGGCTAAAGTAACAGTTTGATGTATTTTTCATAACAAAATTCTCCTGTTTCATTTACAATAGTCAAATCACCAAATTATTTTCTAGCTGATTTTGATAAAAATATGAATTAATTTCTTCTTAAAGTTTCTGAAATTTCATCTCATAGAAATGACATTCATGCTTTCTCATTATCAAATTTCTTTAATGTGTTTCATAAGGTTTTCATAAACTTGCTTGTCAGACGGTAAATGCCTTTTAATAGTTAATGTAAACCTTTGACTGCAGATATCAGAGACTAAGCAAAGACGGAGAGGGAAGTTCTGGAACATGCTGACTTTCATAAAGTAGCTCACACGCATTTCCCTCTGGAGACGGAATGTTCTTGGAGGCATTTTCCCAGGACTTTGCTACTAAAACCCAAGTGATTATGTGTGACAGTTGACTACGGATTGTTATTATTGGAAATTATTTGTATATGCACAGATTGTGATGCAAAGGAGTGTGCCAGGCAAACAAAAAAGCTGTGTTTCATTTTACTCTTCGAGGGGAGATGTAACCTAAAAGGCCTTTTATGTCACTTTACCACTGCAAAAGGGGAAGTGAAATCTGGCAGCAGACTGCTTCCTGTCTTCTTGCAGGAAGGAAACAAACTGTAAACACACACAGGCCGACTTCAGTTTCTTTCCCCTCAATCCAATCTATGCCCAGGCCTGGTTTAACCTTGGTGAAATAGTGTGATGTCACCCTCCCCGTCTCTGTTCTTAGCCCTGGGTTTCTGTTAGAATCATTTGAGAAGCTTTTTAAAAAATTCATTTGTTCAGGTTCTACCCCACACCCAATGTTCTGATTTATTTGGTGTGGGTGTGGTTTAGACATTAATTTTTTTAAGCTTTATTTATTTATTTGAAAGAGTTACACAGAGAGAGGAGAGGCAGAGAGAGGTCTTCCATCCGATGGTTCACTTCCCAGATGGCCGCAACAGTCAGAGCTGCGCCGATCCAAAGCCAGGAGCCAGGCGCTTCTTCTGGGTCTCCCATGTGGGTGCAGGGGCCCAAGGACCTGGGCCATCTTCTACTGCTATCCCAGGCCACAGCAGAGAGCTGGATCGGAGGAGGAGCAGCCGGGTCTTGAACTGGTGCCCATATGGGATGCCGGCGCTTCAGGCCAGGGCTTTAACCTATGCACCGCAGCACTGGCCCCTAATATTTTTTTAAAAAGAGATCTGAAGTGATTCTGATAAGCAGACAGAAAAGCCATGAAGGCAAAAGGAGAGAATATTTTCCTCCAAAACATTGGAGAACTTGAAATCAAGGCTCTTGGTTAAATCTGCTCACAGCCAGGGCTGGTCTGGCTCCAGGTGGTCTCGATGGCCTTCTGGGGCCTCTGAACGTTGCTGCTGCTTCTCCTCTTCTTCAGGCATTTTGGGGGTCTCCCTTTCACACATTATTTTTTCTGATTGAAATTCTTCCCCATTTTTCAAGACAGCTCAGCTCTTACCTCCTCCACGCTGCCTTCCCTGATCACCCTCCTCGGGAAGATCTACAAGGAGCCGGCTCTGCACTGCCTGTGTCACCTCTTTGTTGCATTGAATGACTAAGCTTTGTTGGACTTTTCACCTGCTTGCTTCCCAGCTATCTGTGTTGTAAACTGCTAGCATTCATTTGTACCCTTCACAAATCCACTGCTTTGCACAGAGCAGGAAGCCACTGTTTGTTCCTTCCTGCCATCCTCACCACTACAAGGATGAGTCCGGCCTCCTCGCTTCAAGAATCTTGCCCTGGTCCTGACTGGCTTTTCTGCCACTGGACACCCTTGCTCTTTAAATCAGGTCAAGACACAGCCAATGGCTTATAAAATTGATTGTGTGTGTGTGTGTGTGCACGCGCGTGCACACTCCTTTGCTTATTTCTCTCCTTGTTTTATGATCCGCTCACTTTGTTTCCTTTCTTGCCCCTGTCTTTCCCATGCCCAGGACTTCGTGGTGGAATTCAGCCTCCTGGGTTCTGACTCCATGTGTGTTGTAAGATGTCAGGGGAAGACCAACCTTCTGTCCCTGTTCCTGTGGGGAAACATTTCCGCTGACCAGGCTTTAGTACCTGATCTGAGCTTCCCAGCATCCCCTCACAACCACACTCTACTCTGGTTTTTGTTGTTCTTGGTCGAAGTCCCACTCTTTTAAATAAATCTGTTTTGACCATATGGAAAACTTGTTGGTCCCTTGTGACCCATAGAACAAAATCTAAACAAAACTGTCCAGTCGGAGATGATGAAAGCGAAGCAGAACTTTGTGTGTCTCGCTCACACCGCGCATCCATGCTGGATGGCCACATTTGGCTGGCAGCCTGGTAGTAGCTGGTGGGTCCCCTTTTGGACAGCACAGACACAGAAGACGCTTTCCATCACTGCAGAGAGCGTTACCGGACAGCGCTCATCTGAACACCTTACACCAGCTCTCGCGGGCTTGTGTAATTTCATTGCTAGCCTCGTGTTGGGCTGCTTCTCATCTGCTCATTTTCTCAGTGTTCCTCCACCACGGCATGTTCTGTCACAGCCCCACACCTTCGAGCATGGTACTCCCTCTTCCTGAAGAGGGCTTCGATTTTTCTTCTCTGCAAAGGCTCGCTGGCCCTTTAAGATCCGGCTCCAGCATCACCCTTCTCACAAGGTTCCTCAGCTTTCCTAAACACCCTGTGTTGATTGTCCTTGCTCATTGAACCCAGGACGGTTGCCCTTACCAATGCATTTTGATATTATGTCCTGATAAATCTGATTATACCCTGGGAGAGGGCGGGGATCCTGTCTGATTGTTTTAGCAATGATTCGCTGAGATTGCTTGCCTGGTACCCTTCGGATATCAGTAGAGTGTATTTTAATTTCTGTAGCTGTTATTGATGTGTGCCGCATGTTTGAAAGAAGACTTGGTGCTTTGGGGAAATTCTTTCCATTCCTAGAAGGAAGCAAGGTTGGGGATCCATTTTTCTTGTAAGGAGGTCCGGCTGGACTTCTAAGGGTTGTGGTAGGAGGTGTGCACAAGGTCAGACCTGGTGGGAATGTAACTGTGCGCAGGAGTTGGCTTAGCGGTGCTCAGGAGCCAGTCTGACATGCAGTATTTAGCGTGTGTTAGGGAGAAAAAGAAAGGAGGAGCGATGGAGCCCATGGGAAGACAACTGGAGAAATTTATTTGAATATTTCCAAGGCAAGGCCAAAGCAACGATAGGGTAAAAGGGGAAGAGTTTTTAATTAATTTTGCAAAAATGTGCATATCTTTTCCTTCTGATATTTTGAAAAAAATTCTTTGAATTTAATTACCAGGAAGTAAATGGTCTTGTGCAATAAATTAGCACATCCTGTTTTTTCTGATTCCACTTCTCATCGCCTGCGTAGGGCTCATTTTCTTCTGAGAACGGCCTCGAGCCCTGAGGGTTTAGCGTCGGAGAGACCGTAGCTGATCTCTATCGCCTAGCTGCGGCCGCAAACCCCACAGTCAATCATCCCCGGCCACGCCCACGGATCAGACCACGCCCACTCCGGTGGCCCGCCCTCCCACCTTATCGCTCCGCCCCAGGTCCAGCAGCGGAAGATTCTGTTTGGTGAAGAAGTTGTTCTGGTCCCGCCCCCTGGAGCCGCGATAGGCTGAACCTGTGTGGGGCGGTGGTGGTTGGCTGCCCGGGGACGGGTCCCTGGTCGTGCCTGTCAGAGTGGCTGGCGGCAGTGGCGGCTCTCGGGGCTGGGTTGTCAGTCAGTGAGAGGAGGGGAAGATGGCTCGCCGGGACCCGCTCTGCTAGAAAGAAGGGGGGCAGGTGGTGCTGCCACTCGGGAGAAAGCGGAGCAGCCGCCGTCGCCGTCGCTGCGGGCGGTACGAGTGGAGGTTCTGCAGCAGGCGCTCCGGGAGCTGCCCTGGTGAGTCCGGCCGAGCGGCCCACGCCGCCCCTCAGGGCGTCCGGCCACCGATAACTTTTTTGTCAGGGAGGAGCCGCGGCGAGGCGGCGGCCGGGAGGGGACCGGGACTTTGTCCCCGGGGTGGCGGCTTCGTTGAAGGTAACGGCTCCCGCGCGAGGCTCTGCGGGTGGGCGCGAGGGGGCGCTGGGCGTCGGGGGCGTGCGGCCCGGCCGGGTGGGCAGCGCGGCCGACCCTTGCTCGCCCCGAAGTTGGGCTCAGCCCGCCGGCCGCCTGGGCAGCAGCGGAGTGCGCGCGGACTCGGGGCTCCCTCCTGGCGGGGAGCGGTCCAGCCTCCGGGCGTGAGCCGGGTGCCGCCGCCCCTCGGGAGGCAGGGTCGGCCCCGCCGCGGCCTCTGCAACCCCTCGGATCCTCGCTCTTCCCTCGGGCGAGGCCGCCGCGGTCCGGGCAGCCCTGGGGGCCACGATGGTCCGTGTCCACTCCCCCTGCGCTTGGAAAGCCGCCTCGGGCGCCGTGTCTGGTCGCGCGCAGGGCGGAGAGGTTGGGAAAGCAGTCGCCAGCCCTGCCCGGGTGGTTTCCCCGGAGGGCTCCTCTTCAGCCCTCGCCGCCTGCTTTCTGTCGGTTATCGCTCCTCCGAGGCTGATTTTGATTAGCGTGCGGGAGAATCGTGGGGGCGGGGGCCGTGCGGGGGCTTGGCTGGAAGTCTGCACATTTAGGAGACCCCAAGTTTGCAGGCTTCAGCCCTCCGCCGTGCGCTTGTCTGCTTTGCAGCTCCGGAGTTGAGACACTGCTGCCCGGTGGCTTCTCGCCGCACAGGGCCACACGCCCAGCCCCAGCCAGCCTGCCGCTGTCCCCTGGCAGCTTCTGTGGATCTCAGAGACCCGACTGCAGGCGCTTTTTGCAAACTGTATCCTTGGGGGGGGTCACACGGTAGTTTTTTGGGAGCCGGTAGGCCACGTCTGTGGCTCAGGTAAAGCGCTTTACAGTTTGAGGTTTTGAAATCCTCCTGGCATGAAGTCCTCAAGAGTGGCATAACCTTGAGTCCCTTGGAAGCTGCTTCTCCCAGGAGGGTGTTCCGCTGCTGACGGCCAAACTTCACCTCCTCTCTTTCTCAGCATTTTTTCTCACCTTTAGATGAATATATTTTAAGGTTTACAAGATGACTATTAGTCGGAAGCATCAAATTTTTGGAGTTCAAATAAAGGCAAGAAAGGAAAAAATTCGTTAACATCTGGTTGACCAATAATAGCTCCAAAGTTAGCTATTCAAATAATGGATGCCATCTCAACCATCACATATTTAGAAAGCACATCCTGGGTCTGGCTCACTTTATCCTGTTTGCTTTATTAAAATTATCACCGTAGAAGGATTACAAATACACTTTGGAACCAAGCAAATGGGAATCCTCTGTGTGAATAAAAACATACACATACAAAATTTGTCCCGGATTCCTGGGGTTCATGGGCTCTTGGACGTCCTGACCTGGGGTGGCTGGAGCCTCCTGATCAGGGACTGTGCTGTTTGGGAAGCGGCTAGGAAACCCACTGCTTTGTTTGCTGTTTGCTGAAGCCTCACTGTCACTATGACCTCTTCTGTTGGCCAAGGAAATGGAGTTATTTAACAAATTTTAAAAATCTGTGGGTCGGTGCTGTGGCACAGAGGGTTAAAGCCTTGGTCTGAAGCCTAGTCCCCGCTGCTCCTCTTCCAATCCAGCTCTCTGCTATGGCCTGGGAAAGCAGTAGAAGATGGCCCAAGTCCTTGGGCCTCTGCACCAGTGTGGGAGACCCAGAAGAAGCTCCTGGCTCCTGGCTTTGGATTGGCACAGCTTCGGCCGTTGAGGCCATCTGGGGAGTGAACCAGCAGATGAAAGACCTCTCTCTGTCTTTACCTCTGTTAATTCTGTCTTTCGAATAAATAAAATAAATCTTTAAAAAAACCAATTTTTAAAAAATCTGAAAAAAAGAAAAGAAATACACTTGGTTATCAGCACTAACTACATGGGTGGATGAGAGCACCCAGGGAGATACTGGCCGGGTCAGCACACCTGCTATGTTCTCTCTCTTGGTGGTAGTTCTAGTTTATGAAATCTACCCTTGGTTACATTTTTATTTTAGAGTGGTACAGTTTAGACTATGAGTTTAAATATATTCTATATTCAAATGTTCTATTCAGCATCCTTTGAGTTGATATATAACTTATACCCAACTGTTTTATTCATCATCATTTTGCCTAATATTTTAGGGTGAATTCTAAGACATCTTTTTTTTAAAGATTTATTTATTGGAAAGTCAGAGTTACACAGAGAAAGAAGGAGAGGCACAGAGAGAGAGAGAGAGAGAAAGAGAGGTCTTCCATCCACTGGTTCTCTCTCCAATTGGCCACAACAGCCGGAGCTGCACCAATCCGAAGCCAGGAGCCACAAGCTTCCTCCTGGTCTCCCACGTGGGTACAGGTGCCCAAGGACTTGGGCTATCGGCTTTCCCAGACCATAGCAGAGAGCTGGATTGGAAGTGGAGCAGATGAGACTCGAACCGGTGCCCACATGTGATGCAGGCATGGCAGATGGCGGCTTTACCTGCTATGCCACAGTGCCAGCCCCCTTAGAACTCTTTTTTTTTTTTTTTTTGACAGGCAGAGTGGACAGTGAGAGACAGAGAGAAAGATCTTCCTTTTTTTTTTGCCGTTGATTCACCCTCCAATGGGTGCTGTGGCCAGCACGCTGCGCTGATCCGAAGGCAGGAGCCAGGTGCTTCTCCTGGTCTCCCATGGGGTGCAGGGCCCAAGCACTTGGGCCATCCTCCACTGCACTCCCGGGCCACAGCAGAGAGCTGGCCTGGAAGAGGGGCAACCGGGACAGAATCCGGCCCCGACCGGGACTAGAACCTGGTGTGCCGGTGCCGCAGGCGGAGGATTAGCCTATTGAGCCGCGGCACCAGCCTCCCCTTAGAACTCTTAAAACAATCTTAGTGTTCAAGACTTTTGGTGTATCAAATTTACATTTTATAAATAAACACAATTACATCAAATACAAATTTATTTTGCGCTGCCCTAGGCTGAGTAGTTACCAGGAGTACAGAAATGAAAGTCAAAGATTTTTGTCCTCCAGGAATTTACTGTCAGATAGATAAGATATTGGTAACATTATGGTAATACCATGTAGTGAGTGTGGTTAGGTATATGCCTGGTGGAGTAAGGGACCTTGGATGGTGGTGATGGTGTCGTAATTGACCTGGGGTAAAGGTGGAGTTTTACGGATGAGAGAATTTTGCCCAGCCTGGGAGGTTGAGTGAATGACTTCCCAGGAGGAGGATATAATGAATGAGAAGGCAGGCAGGAGGGAGAGACCAGGGCAATCAAGGACGTCACTGATGGCAACAAGCCAGTGTCAGTTGATGGAGGCAGTAACATTGACCTTGACGTGGCCTGGATGCAGGGGCTCCCAGGGAAGTGGTAGGCAATGAGGATAGTGAAGGCAACAGAGGCCAGGCCGGGGCATTGTGTCCTTAGCTGACGTGACTGAATTGAAGGTGGTAAATGAGAAGCCGCCTATTTCAGCGAGGTAGAATCTGATGGACCCTGGTCATCTGTGGGGAGAGAGAGAGAGAGGAACCAGGACTCTAAGGATTGGACTTGGCTCCATTGACTGGAAACGAGGAACACAGATGTGGAATGAGGATGAGAGATTCAATTTTGGCTTACTTTCTTTTTTTTAAAAAATAACTGAAAACATTTTAATTACCTAAGAATTATATATATTTATGTGGTACCATGTGATGTTTTGATACATGTATACATTATATAATGTGCAATCAGGGCAAACCTATCTTCTCAAACACTTAGCATTTCTTTATGATGAAAATACTCAAAATCCTTTTGTCTGGGTTTTTATTTTTTGAGGAATATATGGTATATTACCATATTGTCACCATACTGTACAATAGAACACCTTAGTCCTATTTAACTATATATTTTGGATACATTTTTTAAAAAGAGAGAGAGAGATTGGGATCACCCATTTGCTGGTTCTCTTCTCAAGCACCCACAACAGTGGGGACTGGGCCAGGCTGAAGCCTAGAGCTGGGAATGCAGTCCAGGTCTCCCACATGGGTGGCAGGGATCCGAATGAGCTAGAACTGGGAGCAGAGCAGGACCTTGAACCTAGGCCCTGTGATATGGGATGCAGGTGTCTCAAGCAGCGTCTTGGACTGCTATGCCAGACACCCATCGTTATTTTGGGGTTTTTTTGAATTTGAGGAAGTGGAACATTCAGGTGAAAATGTAGACAGATGGCTGGATCTCAGAATGTGGAAATCAGGATTAGAGAGAAGATTGGGCGTTGAATTGAAGTTGTATTGATTTGGTTAAGTCAAAATGACTCAGGAAAAGCCTTTAGTGTGATAAAGGCGGCTGCCAGACGACACACTCTGGTAAGTAGCAGCAATAGGTAGAAGAACACCCTGAAAGAGTATTGGTTAGGAAGGTGGAGTGGCATCAGGGTAAATGCTAGCGGTGAAGGGATTTTCAAATGCGAGTGAACAGGTAAGCAGCTCTCAGTGCTGTAGAGAGGTGATGAGGAGAGGACCGTAGTGACCAGTGGCTTGGTCAAGAGTCCGTCAGGGACTTCAGCCAGTGCAGTTGTAACGGAGTGGTGGTTCAGAAACCAGACAAAGACGGATGGTGAGGTGGCAGAAAGTCTTCAGTGAGGCTTATCAAGAAAGCTGAAGCTCGGAAGCTGTTTGTCATCCTTTTCCCTGCAAGAATGACCAGGGCAGATACGGGGGCAACTTGCAGCCAGAAACCAGAGACTGATAAAAATAATGCATGAGGAGTCTCCCCGAAGGGTGGGGAGGGGCTCGTCAGGAGGGGAGACTGCTGCTCCTTGTCATTTAAGGGATCTCGGGGAGGAACAGTGTGACCGCTCAGAAACCTCACCCTGCGCCACACTGCCCTGCTTTCAGTCCCAGCATCCTGCTGGTGGACACCCTGGGAGGCTGCAGGTGATG